CAGGGACTTTCTGAGCCAGAAATCTTACTGTTTAAGTAGCTCTTCATGAACTTCTCCTACATGAATTTGCATACCTCCCTCCAAAGCCCATTTCTGGTTTAGTATTCATAATACTGTTTTGCAACTGCACGCAACTGCACTCTAAAGCACGCAACTGCACTCTAAAGCACGCAACTGCACTCTAAAGCACGCAACTGCACTGGGGTTCTGCAAGTGGTTTTTTTTTTCTTTTATATTGCGTGATTTAAAACAAAAAACAACAAAACCAACCCCACATGCATTTCTGCAAAGCAAAACCAGTAAAATGTTACAGTTTTTGAAAACACAACGTACAGCAACCACACTTACGCTTTTCACTTTCTGGAAAAAAAAAAAAAAAAAAAACACACACAGAAAAACCCAAACCCCAAAATCTCAAGCAACATTACTATCATGTGTTCATACCTCTTAAATATATTCCCTACAATAAACACAACGAAGTTCAACAAATTTCAATTGTATCATCTAAATGTAAAGGTATAACTAATACGTTTTTAAGATCAACACCTGTAATACAAAAAAGATGTACAGGGCATTCAAGTTTGCCCAGTACTTCTCATTAGGGCTATAATGACTGCAGTGGTATCAGAGACATCATGAGTATGGTCCAGGTATGAAACACAAAGTGGGAAATCTTAGAGCTATCCTTGATTTAGAGAGATCCCACCGGCAAGGGAGCAAAATGAAATCCTTTAATTTACACACCAACTCCCTTGTACACTTGTTACCACTGGATAAAGCATGTAATATGTATATGCCTTTAAACACAGCATTGGAAAGTACATGCCAAGGTTATCTTTGCTTGGTTCCTCTGACTCACTGATTGTGTCCGTAATCCCTCTACAGAAACAAGACATACTAGCTTTTATCTGCTAGTTTTACAAGACTGATGAGCTCCACTTGTTTTTAATTACCTACACCACCATAACAGCACTTTTTCCTCAAAGTTCCAACATTACAGGAGACCTACAAACTTTGAGACATAGGAGATGGAAGCATTCATGGACTCCTAAGGGTTTAAAAAAATCGAATTACTTTAAACAGACAAAGTAAATATTCAGATCTGTATATCTAATTAAAAAAAACCCACAACCTCTTTTCCTCATTTTCCCCACTTCATTTTGCTTCTCCCTTCAAACACTTCTGGGGCTTAGGTAAGAACACACTGAGAAATTCAGGACCTCTTAATCCATACCCTTTGCATGATGGAATTTCCTGCTCTCCTTCGCCATCAGTTCAATTCTTCCTCACCTTTTTCTGTAATGACAAAGGACACCTTTGCTACAAACCCATGCCTGCTCCCTTCCCTCTCTTGCAGAGGAATGCTCAGTCACCTCAGATGGCAATGGAGAGAGAGCTTCCTTCAGCTTTCAGGACACCTGGTCAACTTGCCAGGTGACTCTCTGATCAGCCTCAACACATGGTTGCCACATGATCCCTTGCCCAGTTACATGTCCCTTGATTCCTGTGGGAGGTCATTGCCTAGTACAAAGGTGCTCCATCTGAATAAATGCTGAAGTTGATTATTGTGCTGTGATAAATGCAGTGGGTTCTTCTGCAGCTTTTATCTAGCTCCAGAGGCAAAACTGAGAGAGAAGACAAATGACCATACATTCAAAACAGCTTCCTGTTAAAACAAAAAAAGATTTGCAGAACTCTGTTTGATAGTAGGAATGATACACTAGCATACCACTCCCAGGGATCATCACAACTTTAGGTCTGATTTTAAAAGATTCCCAAACCGTCATGCAACTCTGTCTACTCTCACAAGCACAGATGAGGAACAGAAAGAAATCAGGCTGATCATCAACAGCTTCTGTAACTGGAAAAGATACAAGGGAAGAACAATACCTACAGAAGAGCATCTGTCTCAACAGACTGACAGAATATAAATCTCACTCTTAAAAACACCATTTTTGAGTCAGTATCACTGACATGACACAATTTAATTTCTATCCAATGAAAGATCTCAAACCATATAATCTACAGAAATATGTTTACAAATATGTACAGGGAGAGAAGGAAATTTCTTGGGATCTAACGACAACTGTATGATTTTCTCAGAACAACACAGGCTATTCCAAATTTCATCACACAAGGAAACATGCCACTGTATCTGTATGGCTGTCCCTCATTTCAAAACAACACATTCCTTAAAAGGTAATGAAAAGATTTTTTTTTTTAAATCTATATATAATATATGCATATTTTCATATACATACACACATATACAAAACCAGAGAATTATACTGCTGCTCCCAATTGAGAAAAGGCTGAAGCATGCTTTCCGTTAACTATTAAGAGAGTTCAAAGGAAGAAGCAGCTACAAATAACACAAAAATAAGCAATCTCCAGTTTATACCTTACTAGGCCCCAAGGAATCTGACCAGGAGAGAGGAATTCACTGGAAATCTGGCTTTATCTGCTCCATCATTTACAGAACAACTTGTCTGTATTATAGAGGAATTTTTAAGAGACACAATCCCTTATTAATAATACCATGGACTGTTTTCCCACTGGAGCTGTGCTACTTGTATTCTTTCTCATTTAAAAAGTATTTATGTATTTTAAACTGTTTACTGCAGGAGCTGAACAGAACAGGGAGAAGCAGCAAATGTAATGAACCAGCCATCCACAGACAGTAGCCTTGGGGAATCACTCGGAACATACCTATCTTTGATGTAAACACAAAGACTAGACACTTCTAAAAAAATTAAACATTAATATAAAATTACAAAAAAAAAAAAGCGCGAGTGAACCAAACAATACCCACTTCAGATTTTCATTAAATAATTCCCTGTTTCTTCCATCTCATCCATTGTTTTATGCCTCGCGGTTTGGACTCCTGGGGGCAGCTTGTATGAAGTGGTTCTCAGACATTCCTCAGCACCATGTTCTAAGAAATCATTCTTGCCCGAGTGCTCTCTCTTCTCCACATTTCTAGCACTATTCAGGAAGCATTAAAGATACATGCCCTGCCTTGTTTTTCAAAGTGAGCTACTGAACATAACACTCTCCCCACTATTCCCAGCACCTTCTATAGCTGTCATGAAGGCCTCAGAAAACAACTTCTGTTTGTAAAAAAGCCCTCCCTTAGGATCTTGAACCAGGAGGCATTGCTCAGTGTTCCTTGCTACTACTATTCCACCCAGTCCACTTTTTCCACAAAATGCCTTGATCCTACTTTTTTCCTTTTTGCTCAAACTGATCTGGAGTTGGTCAGAAAAAGTAAACAAAAGTAAAGCAAGAACTCCAACTAGTTTTCCGAGTTTCAAATTCTCTGAGATAATCTCCTTATTCCTCCTCATCTCCATACATTTATCAGCAAAACATACACTGTGCTTGCAGAGCAATGGTTTCTAGCTCCTTTACAGTTCTGTGCATACAGAAATCCAGACTTCTAGTTTTGCAGTAGGATATAGATGCTCCCAATGTCACAGCTCACATAAAACCTAGAATAAATTGAAGAGTCAACTCTCCTTTACAAGGCACTACTGTACTCCCCTGTTTTCCTCTTTGTGAAGAGGCCTTAAGACTTAAGGGAGAGACAGGCTAACAGCTCAGGCAGGCGCACTTTCAGAACTCAGATGCTGGGCCTGTAGAGAGCAGTCGTAAAGAAACAGAAAAGCAGCAGCTAAAGCCTAGATAGCCGCAACAAGAATTTCTTAGAGTATGTGAACTACAGAAGTAACAAACTATCAGTTGTGGCAAGTGAAAATGATTCTGCACAAAATAATGAACATGAAGTCTACACATCATAAAACTCTTACTCCATACTGGCTAACAGAAATAAACAGTAGCCATTTGAAGAAATCAAGAAAATAAAACAAAATGTTGATGGGGTTTCAGAAGGATCTCCAGATTTGAAACTGCAAGCATCAATAGGATGTACAATTTTCAAATTTAGATACTAAAAGCTTCCCAATCTGGGGAAAAAGAACATGCATGCAATGCTAGTCAATGCAAATTCTACGACCATTTCTGCAAGACAAGTTTTTACGATTGTCTAGTGATGGAGAGGAGGAAACAACAGTAAAACCAAATCAATTCATGTATTTGAAGCATGGAATTCAAAGGATGTAAGTACACTCAAGAAAATACTCTCAATTAATGTTTCAACCAAAGTCGACTGCATTTGTTCTAATAAATTATAGATTATACCCTTTGATACCAAGAGCCACAAGCTATGAAGAAGCAAGGACAAAACACAAGCTAGGAATAACTGGATTATTCTCATACACGCTACATGCCGTATATTAGGCAGTTTGAAAGCAGACAGAGACAGAGAAGAGGAAATTTACTGAGATGGGAACCTGATTTTCAATGAACACCGTCCTATTTCTTCAGGAATGGAGGAAGGTCCAGTATCTCTCTCTTTCATGGTAAACTTATATATTCTTTTTTCCTCTACTTCTGCTCTCCACAGAAACAGGGCCACAGTTCCCTGTTTCACCTACCTGAGAGAAATTTCAACCATTCCAGAACCAAAATGAAAAATCACTCAAGAATCTAAGAGAGTTCTGTCCTTTTCTTTAGCCACTTAATTCAAGTGTTTATTACTACATAAATAAAGCTGCAGCAAACTAAGAAGTGATTGAAAATACCATCCTACGTTATTCTTCACGCAGTATTAGTATTCAGAAACCCCCATGCTCATGTATGAAATCTGACATTTTCCTCAAGAAAATGCCATATATTCCCTAAGAATAATTCTAATTATAGTATCTTCAAAATAGACTTTTATGGGTCTTTTTAAAATAAAGTAGAAAATGAAAGACACACACAGGAAAAAAACTATACCTCTTCCAAATACATAAAATAGAGGAAAAATAAATGTTGAAAGTGAATGCATTACGTTTTGTGAAGAGATACACTTCCCCAAAAAATGCTTTCTCAAGTTTTTCTATAAGGAGTTAGAAGATAACAATTATATTTTAAATGAAAATAAAGCAGTAACATACTTTTCAAACAAATGTCTTCCAACTTCAGCATCTACTGCACTTAGTGGATCATCCAAAAGATAGATGTCTGCATCCTGATACACAGCTCTAAAAGGGTTAAATAAAAGTCAGTATCATAAAGTTTTACATCTGTTTACTTCAGCCACTAATGTCTGACAATTTGTAAATTTTAGAAACAGCAAAAAACACTAGCCTGGCCAGGTTTACACGGGCCTTCTGTCCTCCGCTCAGTGTAGCTCCACGATCTCCTATTACTGTTAGGTCACCATTTTCTAATAATTCCAAGTCCTGTGAACGTTAAAGAACAGACAGCAAGATATTTTTTTTTTTAAATCATTTTAACTTCAAAGACTGACAAAGCTGCTTCAACATTTTCTTATTTGAAATATATTAATTTATCTCACATTGAAATACAAGGATTCATACTAAATGAAATATCTACAGGTACTTTATGACTTTGTACCTTCAGCAAAAGATAATCAAGAAAGGAGGAAAAATAGGCGAGATCTTAAAGTTCACTATTTCTACAGCTTTGCCAAAGGGAAGTGGACTACTATTCTTAGTGCTTACAAGGAATATTTGCTGTCAATTCATAAAATCAAACTAAAACTTATGAAGTATAACAGTAAATTAATTATTATTTACTAGACAAAATGAGCTGTCGCAATAAAAAAAGCCTGAACTATTATCAGTAAATTATCTTTAATTTGCAAATGTCCCTAAAAATTGCATTACTTTTATTCTTACTGCAATATATCCAAGAAAAATAACCACAACATTCATCAGACAAATTTGGTTTATTTACAGGGTTTGGGACTACAAGTAAGAGAACAAAATTGCATTATTATGTCATAATATTGTAATTCTTATTCAGGAAGAATACTATTCTCAACAGAAGTTTTATATTAAGCTATATAACATATTCTGAAAGTTTATTCACAGCTTTTATAAGATACATAAATTTGAAAGAAAACTATGAAAGCAAATCTACCATCAAGTATGAAGTGGGTTTTTTTTAAATGCAGTTTGCTGTCTTTTAAAGTCACTAAAACCTTAAGTTTAGACAACAGCATATGACTAAATATCAGCACGAGATATTAAAACTCTATCTACCATGTGTAAAAAACCTTGCAAAAAATTTTCATCGCAGTAACCATCTGCTTTTCACCTGTGTCGCTGCTGACAGGAATATCATAACATGCTGCATAAAACCTTTTTAGCTGCCAAGCAAAATGTCTGTTTCTTGACAAATCTGGCTTAATCCTCTTCCGTATCTCATGTCACAAACTCCTTTGCGCATAGACCTTTCAGAAATATTTTTTTATAAAACTACTTGGGCTCAGCAAGTTCTCCCACATATAGCACTAAGGTTCTTTTGATAGCCGTTAGCAACGCACAATACATGACACAAATGACATTTTTTTTTAAAGCGTATAAAATATTTACAAAATGGAAGTCACAAAATAGCGCTAGCTTGATCATTTATTTGCCACCTTTTAGTGCATTTACACACAGATCTACCACAATGCCACTGAAAAAGGCTAAATGTGATTATGAAATTAAATAATTGGGAATAGCTTTTTCCAAATTTGTCTGTGCTTCATATAAACTACAGCTCCCTCTAGTGAAATATTTAGGAATTACAAGAATGTGCTTACACACAAATGTCAAAAATAATCGCACATATTATTAAGCAATAGGATTTCGCATGCTACTAATAATAATCAATTCTAAATATTATAGATTGCAACATGTACCCCAAGTCTGAAAGAACATTAAATAAAAATAAAGATCATGAAAATAAAACACACAAAGAGAAAAACATACCTTTTTAAGAGCACAGACTTTTAAAACTTTTTCATATTTTTCTTTCTCATATTCCTTGTCAAACAGTATATTACTTCTTACTGTACCAGAAAACACCCAAGGCTGCTGGGAAACATAGGCAATTCTTCCAGTAACGTTTATCAAACCTTTGTCTTTAGGAAGCTCACCAAGCACAGCACTTAAGAGTGAAGACTGGAAAAGATTAAAGAAATAAAATAAAAATTGAAAAGTTTAATTGCATTAAAGACATCACAGAGACCGAGCAGTGTTTACTGGCATGATGGCCTACTTCACCCTGTCATTCAAACTAATGCTAGCAGCAGAAGAGCACTAGTACTCTTCACATGCAGTCTAGAAGCAACGTACAAAGTGTTGTTTAACTCTGAACCACCTCCTCCCCACCTCCAGAAGGACATCTGCCTTTCCTGAATGCCAGTATCTTGATGTGAAACATGTTATTATACACAGAAAGTTTCAAGTCACATTCAACAGACTCATAAAAACCCCACAGAATTGAGCAAACATTGACTTACTTTTCCAGCTCCTACAGGACCAACCACAGCCAATAATTCCCCTCGTCTGACGGTAAATGATACTTGTTGAAGTGCTGGGCTTTCTAAACTCTGTGGATTTGAGAAAAAGTCAGGCTTCCTCAGTAATGAAATACACACCATCAGAACAACTCTTTAGAAACAGAAAACAACGCACAGAAACCACTATAAACTAGCAACCCATATGCCCACCATATTTTCAGGCATACAGTTTGACACTTCAGTAATTCACAAACACTTTTGAAAGGCCCTGATCCTTCACCACAAACAAGTAACACAGATAAAACAGTGTTCAAAGAGTAAGGAACCCAAGGGCAGCATCAGCAGTGCTTCCTCAAAGCCCACACATCCTCACTGCAGCTCAGCACGAGGCTGGGGAAGCAGCCTAGGGAACATGAGCTCTCTGCCGGCCATCACACTGGCACTCATGGTGCCAGCACAGCACGCCCAATGACTCCAAGTAGCTGGACAAATGCTGGAAAAGGGGGGCAGATGAAGCTCTCTCGGAGCCCCAGGAAAGCCAGGTCTGTGTTTGTTCTAGTCAACCCTCTAGCCAAAGTGAAAAGAGAGAAACACCATCTGATTTTATACAACTTCATCTTGTATATCGTGGATTCTCAGAAACTTTTCACATACAACATAATGGGCTATTTGTGTGATAATACAATACCATAGGACTGTTTGTTTAATATTTCTTTTTAGTACGCTACTGATAAGAACTTGTTTCCCAACATACTTTTCACCTCTCCTATCAAGGCTGCAAAAACACCCATTTCTTGTGAAACAAAAGGATGCTCATGTCTTTAATAGCTATGCTAAACCACAATTCCTAAGGGCCTGGTGCAGCTCCCTCTCATTAAAGCAAAACACCCTTGTAACAGGATCTTCCCTTACATGCATCTTAGATCGCACTAAGTATGACTGACACTAAAATGCAAAGAGGAAAGTATATGCACTTAAGAAAAAAAAAGTATTTCTATTAAAGGACCAAACAAAAACCCAGCCTCAAGAAGGAAGAGCAAGGTGAAGAATACCTAGTGTGCCTCCTGACAGCTTGCAGACTATTTAAAATCTGCAGCCACAGTTTGAAGCTCAAGAGACTGAAGAGGTCGCCACATAACCAAGTTCTGGGACTGCAAAAAGGGGAAGCTTGCAATTCGTTTCAAATTATTAGGGAGAAACACAAGTATAGCATCCATCCACACCAATGACAGCTGGGAGAGCTGGGCTAGCATGCACATGTCCAGTCACACCAGGAGAAATACTTGGTTAAGCAGCACTGTACCTAGAGCTCAGAGCTGCACGTCCCCCATCACAGCTCCCACTGAATATTGCAAAAGCACCACAGGGTTCACACAGTATCAGAGTCACACTGTGAGAACCCAAACTTGTTTATATTGTGCAACTCTACAAAACTACTTTTGTTGCTATTATTAATTTCCACAAGGTGGCATCAATGCGGCTTTTTTTTTCTCCACCCTCTACTTTCAATCAGCGTTTTAGCATGAATTTAATTTCTCAGCCCAGCGTACACAGTTCAAGTGTTCAGCTAGTGCTAAGGTCAGCAGAACTCTACCAACTTATGGTATGGCAGCCAAGGTTGGATTTTTCTTTAATGCAAAGTTTGTATCTTTTATTAAATCAATTAATCTACATAGAAAAAGTAAGTAAGCTTTCAGACACACAGGCCCTTCTTTAGACATTGAGGCTGTGCTTCTGTATTCACAAATGTGCAAAGATATTTCCTCCCACACTCAGGTATTTAAAAAAGTATATCATAAGAGCCTAAAAACATTATAGAAAATTTTTTAAAAGTTTTTAAACTATTTCCCAAGTATTGTATATTAAAGCAGTATTGTAAGAATATATACAAAGTAGTAATGCAAACAAACAGCATGGCCACAAACACCTAAGGGACATGGCATTTTAGCAAAACAGCATTCATTAAAGACAATTTGTCCTGAACTCATCACACTTATTTTTAGGCACTAAACTGAGCCACTTAAATCAGAGCACAGACTAATATTACAGTTAAGTTCATCTGACAGCTCATTATCACAAATGTCCCAGCTCTCCTGTGCCCTGTCAACTATCCGTGTTTCATTTCCCTTCTTCTGCCACTTGCTCTTGCTTAACCTTGCAATCAGAATGGTCATGGGACTCAGCTATGAGAAAACAAATCACATTAGCAGTGATTCATTTTCTATTGTTTTATCCCTCTGAACAGGTTCATCACAGGGTCATACATACAAGCATTAACACCACAAGGAAGGGAACAGAGACACAGAGTGCGAGGACAGGAGGACATAAGAAGAATGATTCCTCCAGGGACAGCAACTCCTTAGGTATGCTTGAGCAGACCTTACACATCCTACAGTTAAAAGAAGCAATTCATCCCATCTGAGGGATGCAGAGATCATATATTGCATGGAAGTACTATACTACTTATGCTCCTCATTTAAGTGACTAAGATTACAAGGGACAAATTTGGCCTCTGTTCAAATGCTTGAATTTCAAATCTGAAGTTGTTCAGTTGAGCAGACAGACTGTTCTGTAAACTCAAGGCACATCATTAAAAACCCTCAGTGAAACCCTACTTCCATGTGGGTTATCGGACTAGCATGCGGTACTCAAGATAATACTTGCCTTAGCAAAACAAGAGTGTGACCATAAATTAATTAGTTTTTATCTTTATAATTGATAAACTGTAATACAATACACTATGTTATTTTCCCAAAAGTCTAGCTAGTAATCTCTTTTTTACTTTCAGTGATTTTGGATTTGTGGGTTGTTGGGTTTTTTTAGTATCTCTTTTGGCTCATGATCTTTAGAAATAAAAAAAATTATCATCCAGCTGTACAGCGTCTGTATAGAGATCCAAACAGTCTTGAGAAACCTTGAGAGGGTAGCAAGCTAAGTTAGTTACTTGACAAAGGATAGCATATTATTATCCTTTGTAACACCTCTCTCTCAGAACTCATCACCTTTTCAGTGAGCAACTCTATAGAATTGTTTTGCATCATTTTAAGTGTATATAACAGAAATGTTCTGAGCAGCTCTTAGTAGTCCTGGGAGAACTATTCTTCTCCCATGCACACTGCAATTAAGTATCAAAATGAAAGTTACATTAAGAGTTTGGTGGGTAGTTTCTTGGTTTGGGTTTTTTAAAATCAAAAGGAAACCAGTAATTCCAGTCATGCTGTCCTGCTTTATGCAATATAAACAACTAATGAAAAACACAAAAGCCATTTTATGGGCATATTATGCAACCATTTCCTATAAATTGTTAACACTGATACCAATGTTGGTTTGGGAAGAAAACAAAGATTAAGAAATACATTCCATTTTGCATTTATAATGCATTCACATCAAGTTTTTCCTATCAATTAATTTTTAAAAATTTGTTCATTGTCTCAAAGATTTATGTCACAGAGACAATTCTGAGAAAGTAAATACAGCAATTTTCTTTTGTAGCTGAGTAATAGTAGTAGGTAGATCTTCACATATGTTTTCACAATTTAACTTCCTTAGGACACAGCACATGTAAGGGAAGAGGGTATATAAAGGGAAATATGTGACATGTTTTAGTTGCATTATATTTATATGCAAAATTCATTTTTAGAGCTTCCAGCATTTCTTGTGGAGACTGAAGATTCCCTTGTGCAAGGATACCGGCAGCTCGTAATAGCCCAAACAATATATCACAAATTGCTGCTTACCATAGTAATTGCAGTTTTAAAACCGAAACAACAATCAATCTTTGTCTTGCTTACAGAAAAGGATACATAATAGATTTATCACCCATGTATTGTCCCATTTTCTAGTCGTTTTCATGGGTTTGGTGCATTTTAAGCAGAGAACAATTCATAGCTGAACAGTCTCAATTAAAATACACAGAGTAATACATACATGCAGACTAGTCTCTAAAGCTTTCAAATCTGTTATGATAAGTGTAATATTGTACTGTTTATAGACTAATGGACTGATCAGCATTCAGTTCAAAATAAACCCAACCCACATGCTAAGGCCACTTTACTGTGCTGTCTGTCCTTAATTCCGATTTAAGTATCTCAGCTACAATACAGTGCTGTTTAACAAGAGATATTTTCACACAGAAACGCACATATTTTCATTTAGTGTAATATTCAGGAATAGCTACTTTTAAGATACAGTTGATAAGTGTTTTCAGTACTATTCTACAGAGTTAGCTTAACATACTAAAAGGATTCTAATACACAAAAGATGGAATATAAAACATCACCACACTATACATAGCCATACTGCTTTCTAGACTTAAAAATGCCTACAGCACCAATATACATTACATTTAGTAGAAGCAAATTTACCTTATCCCAATAGCAAGTCAAATCTTGAACATGAAGAATGACATTCTCACTGTTACCATGCAGTTGTGGCTTGAAGTGTGAGACCTCATCAAGTATCAGAAAGTTCTGCAATAAAAGAAAAGCACAGGATATTGCCTAATGTGAGACTGAGAATGGGAAAGGAACCCAAGCACTTGTTTTTGGAAGCAGCATATAGAACAATAATTATGGGGGGAAGGAGGATAAACAACCACAAACTGATTAAGGAATTACATTTCCAAAGAAATGCTCAACTCCAACAGTGTACCTCTAAGAAGCTAACTCCCCCGC